CATTGTTGGAGAGGTTGAGTTAACCACCATATTGGTGTATTTGATTATTTGTAACCATTATTTTCATAGTGGATTTCTGATCTAGACTAGGTCCCGTGGGTTTTTACTTCTTCATTGGAGAAGGTTTTCCCACGTTAAATCTGGTTGTGTTCTTCTTCTCTTTCTCCTGTTTTCGTTTTGATTTTTCCGCTGCGCTGCCTGACCTGGTGAAGTTCAGGCTGAGGTATTACCGAGATCCGAGATCAGGATCTTGTTGATTGACTTCCGCACAAAGGCCCCTGAGCCGAGCTTGAGGGAACCGAGTTTTCCAAACAAGTTTGATAGGAAAATGTAAAAAAAGTTGTTTGGTTAACCCAAATATTACCAGGGAAATTTATTTAAATATGCAAAATCTATGTTTGGGAGAAATTTTGCACCTGTTTTTTCACTTCCCCAGTCATCTCACAATACCACATCTCGAGTGGTATTCTGTAACAGTGAATTTTATCCAAACATCAACACAAAAGTCATTTTCCCATCTATCCTATTTGTCTGGTATTTCTTGAAAAAACCTGAACCAAACGTGGTATTTTTCAATATCCACCTACACTTTCCCATCAATCCTAAAATAAACCTTCAACCAAACACTACCTTAAGCTTTATTGAATTAGCAACTACAAGAAATAAAATTACTTACATGGATTTTTCATTTAAAATTCTGCTCAATTGTGCAGGAGATAACGCAAGTTGTCTTGCGTGTAATTCGCCTAGTATCAATTCAGATTTGAGATTAAGACAGTAACAGGGACATGTGTACAACTTGATGCACCTGGGTGACTCGCTTGGATTGAGCTTTTTCATAATTTATTTTTTTATTTAGGGATTTTAATAATTATTAGTTATTTCCTTTTTGTTATTTAAGATTATGTTGTGCGTTGATTGTGCGTTATCTCCTTTGATTGCGCATTATTATAGTAATTTACTTTTTTTGTTATTTTGTTTTTGCCTATTTAAGGTTTGGAGAACTCTATTGTTATTAGGTTGTTTTTGGTTAAATAAAATTAAGAAAAGAGGAATAGTATTTTCTCGCAATCCTTGTATTCGTTCTTATTTCTGTTTAGCCAATAGGTTACTGCTTCGACATTATTTGGTAATCAGAGCTCTGGTTGTCATTTAAATGGCTGAACAGAACAATGGCAGTCGAGGTCGAGGTTGTGGACGACGGGATCGAGGCGACGGCGGCAGTAGAGGGCGTGGTAACTAGGGATGGCAAAGTGGGCAGCCCGCCCCACATCGCCATCAACCCGCCAAAAAATGAGTCAACCCACCCCGTCCCGCTTTTGAAAGTGGGTTGAAAAACTAAGCCCGCCTCGCCCCGTTTGGCGGGTTAGCCCGAGCCTATTTTACACTGACCCGCCTCGACCTGCCTATGCCCGCCAAAAAATGAGCCTGACCCGCCCCGCCTCGCTTTTCAGATGGGTTGAAAAACTCTGCCCGCCCCGCCCTGTTTAGCGGGTGGGGCGAGTTGGCCCGCTGAGTCGAGCCTGTTTTGCCATCTCTTGTGGTAACACCCTTTATGGCGACGGCGAACAACCACACATCGACGCGTGAGATGCCACAATGGTAGCAATGGCTACTACAATGGCAGAACAAAGTAGACGAATTCAGGAGCTCGAACAACGAATTGCCCAAACACAGTTGGACGAGTTAGATGAAGGAAGGGAATCTGAAAGATCATCTCATAAGGAGGAAATGAGCGAAAACCCATTCTGGGACTGGAACCAGGAGCGATGAGGACGAAGTCGACCTGGAAATCAATCCTTTTTTGCCAATATTGGGGTGAAGATTGAGATCCCGGAATTCGAGGGCACCACTCATCCAGATGAGTTCATCAACTGGTTACACACCGTCGAAAGAGTCTTTGATATCAGAGACTTGACAGAAGATCAGAAGGTCAAACTGGTCGCTATCAAACTGAGGAAGCATGCCTCAATTTGGTGGGAACATATTAAGAAGCAGCGAAACAAAGAAGGGAAGTCAAAGATTAGAAGTTGGGTAAGATGAAGAAACTGTTACAACAAAAATTCTTACCCATTCGCTACCGGCAGGAGGCATTTATTGAGTACCATAATCTCAACAACGAGACCTATCAGTTGAACAGTATACAACTGAGCTTGATCGTTTACGGATGCGCTGTGATATTGCAGAGGAGGACGAACAACTGGTTGCTCGTTACCTAGGAGGACTGCGAACTGAGATCTCAGATGTTGTATACCTACAACAATATTGGTCATATGAGGACGTATGTCGACTAGCTTTAAAGGTAGAGGAGCAGTGTAAGAGAAGAGGAGGTACTTCAAAATTCCAACCCAGATTTTGTGACAAAGGACAGTTATCAAGCTCGACAGCCAACACTAGTGCGGGGATGGAACCTTCTAACCCGAAACTAGTGAGCAAGGGGGGAGCGATCAATGGTGAAGCAAGCAAGACAAGGACTATAGCAAAGAGATGTTTTAAGTGTCAGGGTTTAGGACACTTCGTTGATGATTGTCCAAACCGGCAGTATGTTACTCTTGCGGATTCTCAAGCCTATGATATAGGCCCCACCTATGATGAGTATGAAGAACATGAGGTGGATGGAGGGTCTGAAGAATGTGAGATTATTTTCGGTGATTCAGGCGAAGCCTTGGTTGTCCGAAGGGTGTTGAATGTTGACATCATTAATGATGAGTCGTGGCTTCGACACAATATATTCCGGACCAAGTGCACCAGCGGCAATAAGGTGTGTAATATGATCATTGATGGAGGGAGCTGCGAGAATGTAGTCTCTAATACCATGGTTGAGAAGCTAAGATTGAAAACAGAGGAACACCCACAACAATACAAGCTTGCTTGGCTGAAGAAAGGAATTGAGGTGAAGGTGAACAAGAGGTGTCTCGTACAATTTTCTATCGGCAAAAGGTACATTGATGAGGTGTGGTGCGATGTGATTCCGATGGATGTGTGTCATATCTTGTTGGGGAGGCCGTGGCAATTTGATAGGAAGACGAAGCACGATGGCTTCAAAAATACTTACACTTTCAAGAAGGACGGACTAACTATTACCTTGGGTCCATCTGAATTAAAGGAGGAGGCAAAGAACACTATGTTGTCTAGAGTAGGTTCCCAAGAGGAATCTACCAATGCCGTTGAGATATGTGCTTGTGTGGTGATAGAACAAAATTCTGGTGTTTCTGACATTCCTTTGCAAGTTAAGCCATTGCTAGAGGACTTTGTTGATGTGGTTCCTGAGGAGATGCCATTGGAATTGCCACCTATGATGGACATCCAGTATTGTATTGACCTTGTGCCAGGAGCTGTTATTTCCGACAAAGCTACATATAGGATGAGCACTGAGGAGCAAAAGGAGTCACATTCACAGGTTCATGATCATATTCAGAAGCAAAATGTGAAATATAAACAGCAAGCTGACAATCATAGAGATCAAGCCATTTTCAATGAAGGCGATGTGGTATGGATACACCTTAGGAAGGAACATTTTCTGGCTAGCAGGATTGTTAAACTACCTAGAGCTAATGGTCCCTTCAGGGTGCTCGGGAAGATCAATAACAATGCTTACAAGATTGAACTTCTTGAGGAATACAATATTTCTAGTACTTTCAATGTTGTTGACTTGTCTCCTTATCATGATGATGAAGAGGGCATAACGTGCGAGAATAACCATGAAGATCCGTTAGATTTGAGGACGAATCTTCTTTTGGCAGGGGAGAATGATGCACCTGGGTGACTCGCTTGGATTGAGCTTTTTCATAATTTATTTCTTTATTTAGGGATTTTAATAATTATTAGTTATTTCCTTTTTTTTTATTTAAGATTATGTTTGAGTGTGCGTTGATTGTGCGTTATCTCCTTTGATTGCGCATGATTATAGTTATTTTTTTTTTGTTATTTTGCTTTTGCCTATTTAAGGTTTAGAGAACTCTATTGTTATTAGGTTGTTTTTGGTTGAATAAAATTAAAAAAAGAGAAATAGTATCAATTGAGATTTGAGATTCAGACAGTAACAGGGACAAGTGTACAACTTGTCTTCGTTGAATTAATACGTGTGGTGTCAACAATGCAACTCCAACAAATGTAACTGTAAAGAACCTTGGGATACACCACCCCAAAAGCTAGCTCAAAGGTTGGGAGTGCTCAAGGCCTTATAAACTCCACATTAGTTGCACATACAACCAATGTGAGACTAAATATCTCAACACGCCCCCTCACACAAGAGCCCATTGGGCTTGAAGAGTGGACAATGCAACAGGCCCAGCCTACCTGTGCGAAGAAACACCACAAGAGAAAGTGGGGGGCAGCGAGGCTCTGATACCATATAAAGAACCTTGGGATACACCACCCCAAAAGCTAGCTCAAAGGTTGGGAGTGCTCAAGGCCTTATAAACTCCACATTAGTTGCACATACAACTAATGTGGGACTATATATCTGAACAGTTACTATAGATTTGTTTTTTTTTTGTTAAAAGTTGTTCCTGCTTAAATAAATGATTTCAAGGTATTTTATTAGCGCATTAAAATTAATTACATAATTTTTACACCCATAAATTGATTCACATCTCAAAAATCATAGGTCATAAAGAATGAAGCTATAGGTAATTCCAAGTTTTCTTGACATGACAGTGCATAACTCAGCCATGTGAAGGCTCCATTTAGTAGCCGCTATGACATTGGTGACTATTTTCCACAAATAGCAGCAATAAAAGAGAAGCCGAATAACACAATAACCATTTTAACTCATGAAAGTGTCCTTGCTGTTCACAAAGCCACAGATTATCAACTACCAAAAAGGGCTTCATTCATACGAGTCATTGCTAATGCCCTGCCAGTGGCAATTGTACTAGAAACACTTAACTCACCGCCACAGTTCACACCCAACTCAGCAGAAACTTGAACTATAAAACACAGCCACACCCTTCCAGTTTCAACACAAACCATATCTCAAATCAAAATTTAACCAGATAATGGCTTATAAAGCTTCCTCTTTCCTTGCATTTCTTCTCATCTCAAACATCATGCTTGCCACTACTTGGCAAGCGGTTGCTGGACGCCACATTATTCCAAAGATCTCAAACACTCAAGACAAGAAGGAACCCCAGTTTTTCTTTAAGTCTGATGGTAGTGTATATATTCCAGGCATTGGGCGAGTAGGATTGCCACCACCACTGTTTGGTGTAACACCTCAAAATCCATACACTGGTGGCAGCGGAGGAGCTGGATCAGGATCAGCACCAGCTGGTCATAGTTATGTTCCAGGTGGTGATGACACTTTTGTCCCAAACCCCGGTTTTGAGGTTCCAAATCCTGGCAATGGTGGTGGTGTTCCAAATGCAGTTCATCCATGAGTATGCTCAGTTATGAGCCATCATGCATGATTGCACTAGTTAGGTGTAGTTTCTTAGCCCCTGGGACATTGACCAATATGCCATTCTTATCAATAGTATTTACATGTATGCCACGTTCCAATCAAATTTTGTCAAACTATCACGTCACATTCTTGCTACGCTACCCAGCGAGAATGGACTGGACCCGTGGCAGCGTCTGCATGGGCAGCCATTCTCGCTGAGCAGCCCAGGCGAGAATGGCAGGATGCTGACACGTGGCAAAAGTACAAACATTCTCTGTAAAAAGCTGTTCAGGTGGCTAATCTCACTGGACTGCCATGCGAGAATGCCTGTACTTTTGCCACATGTCAGCACCCTGCCATTCTCGCTAGGCTACTCAGTGAGAATGACTGCCTATACAGACGTTGTCACGTGTCTAATCCATTCTCGCTGGGTGGCGTAGTGAGAATGTGACATGACATTTTGACAAAATTTGATTGGAACGTGACATACCGGTATTTTTTAGTCACAAGTGTGTCATTATGGTCAATGTCCCAAGCCTGTTATGCTTTTGATGAATTGAGGTACCCGTCTATTAACCTTTTGTAACCATTAATAAGTGCTCAGTGTACATTATCTGCTACTTGGTATGCAGAGCCTTTCTGCTTTTTCCTTGTTTAAGGTGAATTAAGTATGCTGTAAGCTCAATTGTTTGGAACCCCATCGTTCTCAAAGTAGCTGCTGATTGTATTTGTTGGCCCTCAATCACATATCATAATTCTTCAGTTTTAATTGCTAGTTCCTCCTCTAATAGAAAAGTAATGATGTTTAAATTTATGAACATTGGCTCATACTAATAATTCTTCTAGTTGCACTAATATTACACAGAATTTGTTAAGGTAATAATATCATTCACCAATACCCCACAAGTCATTGCAGGAATATGCCTTTAAACGACATAAATATCATGTAGCCTGCAGAAAAAAAACATCGAGTAGGGAAATAGAGCATCCCTCCATTTATTGAAAAGATGCTAATCATGATGTAGAGGTTCCAGTATTACAGGGAAGAGAATCATTGAATTTCACACTTCAAGTAATTAAATCAACCGTTCTCAATTCATATGAATAAATCCATTTAGTTTCCTCAACATCTCACATCACAATGAACGATAGAAATGCTGCACATAAATGCACAGTTGGTTTGCCATCAATATGCAAGCGACAACACCAAACTACTACAAGTCTATCACATGTAAAATAGTAGTTTCGGGTCTTCATCCCTTCTGCCCCACCCAACCCACCAACCCAAAAAGAGAGAGTAGAAAATAAAAAACACAATCAGTCTATATCCCCAAGTCCCCTCCGGGAAGCATTTAATTGAGTAACTAAACAGTTGACAAAGAAAAAGGAAAATCACTATGCTATAACTATCAGCTTTTAGTCTCAACTCAACAATGTATTTTGATCTTGATTTTAGCTGTTATCCTTCTTTATCACATATTCAAAGAAAAAGGTGATGATAGTAGAAAGGGATACGTTAAGAAAAGATCAAACGTAACACACAAGAAACAAATGATCCGGGTAGTGCAGAGTTTGGAATTCAAGAGAAAAATGATAGATTCAAGTATTACAATTTACATCATAGGATTTGATACAAAATGACAGTTGCCAGTTGCAACTAGCTTGGAGCTTGGAACTAGATCTGTAATGGAAGCCTAGCTATGTAGACGAGTATCCTGCCAAAAGAAGTAAGGTGAAGAAAAAGTAAATTAAAAGAAATGGTAATATTAGTTGACAAAAGTTATAGAGAAGAAGGAAAAAGCATACAACTTTTGTATACAGCTATTAAATTTCACATGAATTTGTGTTGAAAGCATAAATAAAGTAAAAGTAGTAGCAGACACACCTACATACAAACTCTTATGCTGAGATTTAGTAACAATGTTAGAAGAAATAAGTGTCTTCCAAGAACTTAAAATGTATGGAAAAAGTATTGAGAAAAATTTATTACTTTACTCAATAGCCCTATCTTTTAAAACATGGATACTCAATACTTGCACTTCTAACACGTTCTTCACCATCTATTTAGTCATGGGTGATTCGTTCAAATATGGTTCTATGGTACAAAAACATAAGCAAACAGATTGTGGTATTAAAGTATCAACAATAACATATTTATATTCAATAAAAGGGAAAAAGAAGTATCATTTAAAAGGACACAAGTTGTCTCCTTTTAGATGATTTACATAAAGTATGACCAGTCATATTTTGTGTAAATCTGAAAAGTTACTTTTTTTTTCTCTCCTCAGTCACATAGCTGACGTGTAAAGTAAAAAAAAAAAAATTTTTTTAGAATTACAGAATAGAACCGGTCATACTTTGTGTAAGTCACTAAAATAACACAACTTGTGTCCTTTTAAATAACATACACTAAACCATCAATAAAATTATTGCAAATGACATGGTTGAATTCCAATGAAGTAAACCTTTTTTTTTTCTTGGATAAAAATGATGAGGAACAAATTACAATATGATTGATCAAAATATAAGCAAACATCACAAAAGTTATTGTATTCTTTTCCATTTATATTGACAGGCAAACAGTAAATAAAAAATCAACCAGGTTACCATTATAGAAAATTGATAACAATAATAAGAGTAGAAACCAAAATTTCATCGTCTAAGGATTTGTCTGTCACCATATTACTATAAAGATTTTTATTATTAAATTAATCTCTCAAAATTTTAAAATATCACCAAATTCATCATTTTATGACTAAAGTGGTGATAAAAAATCAAATTTGTTGAAATAAAATATATTAAAATACTTATGCACAACGCACCTACCTAGTTCAGAACAAAGTGTGGGTTCAGTAATTTGAAGAAATCAAATGCCAACAATCTTGAAAATGATGAAGCAGGCGAATCCCATGAAGATCAAGAGGAAAAGGTAATCAACGAAGACAAAGAATTTCGTCGACCCATGATTCCTCTTCCTCCTCACTTTGGCCACGGACTCGTCCAGTTCTTCGATCTTTGCCATTGCAGAAGAGAGAGAGAGGTTTACGATCTTCACCGCAGAGACAGAAAGAGATGCAATAATTATTAAAAACTACAACACCAAAAATCCAAAACAACCCAACACTTGGATGTTGATTCGGGATTCATTATATTTATAGAAAGATGATTTCTTTCATTAAAGTTTCTTTTTTTAATCTTGCTGATAACAGTTTCGATTCATTTATAGATTATGCTTTCCATTATACGTGAATTACCGCTGCCATGCTCGGTGAAAAAAGAACAAAATATTTATCGTCAGTCGTGGGTGGTTGATTAATCGCATTGCAAACTTTATACTTACAAAAACCTGTGTTATTATCTTATTTTATATTTCAGGTGAAAAAAATTACAGCATTGACACAGAACATTGCAAATATCAATCATAAACAAAAATCTGCTATCAAAAGTGATCAATATTATGCAAATCAAATACAGTTATCTACTCGATGAGTTATGTAAAAAATAAATATGCCACATTAGACTATGTTAAAATGAGGATGGGTAAAAAAAGAAAAATGCATACAACTTATTGCTAACTATAACAGCACTAATAAAATCAAGGTAACAAACAGACCAAGCAAATATGGAATTAAAAGATCAGTTTGTACCTATAATAAGAAAACACTATTAATTCAGTGTCATTCTGTAGCAATCATTGGAGAAATGAGTTCAACACATATCAAACATGTGATTTCCTATGTTTATGCATTACCAGAGACATCCTCTTCTACCATCATATTTATGCCTACGATACAGAGTGCAAATACTTATTAAATAAATTACGCTAATATGTTAACACCCAGAAGTAATAATCTTAGGAAAAAAATGAGTTATTTTTTTTTAGAACCCAAAAAACGTTGTCAGAGAGGGATTTGAAAGCAAATTAACCAAATAATCATGTATGAGTCATATTTTGTGCTTACATTGGAACAAATGTGTCTAAACAGCATCAAATCAATACACATGTTAAAAACTTGTAACAATATAAAGAACCCACAATGATAAATTTTTAAAAAACAATAACATACATTTGGATCCACCAAAGACTTAAAGAATGAGGTGACAATAGCTTCGCTGCTTCAAACACTTGAATCTTAATATCTTGGCTCATTATATGACTCCAAAATATTTTTTTTACGTTGACCTTAAATAACATGGAATTTTCATTAAGAACGTTAAGTTTTCCTGGATAATGTTCCAAATCAGAACCATACATAAAAAAACTCCTTCAAAATTAAGTATAACTCGTACGATGCACGGGAAAAAAGAAATTTGTTTGTCTGTCTCGTAAAAGTTAATGTAAATCATAAAAATATATCTCTGCATTTTATGAAAACAGTCAGTATAAAATTTATGAATCCTTCCATCCTGAAAAATGAATAAATCAGTCAATATAAAATTTATGAAAATGAATTCATAGGGTTTGTTCATAAAGAAACAGAAAATTATACCAATAGAACAATCCCTACACACATGAACGAAAAAAAAAAAAATGCAAGCAAGACAAAAAAGAAGAAGCAACACTTCCCTATTTATAGACAAAGTCGTAATTTATTTATTTAAAAAAAAAATTAGCTTGTAGAATACACTTCACCATTACCAATGCAGAAAATAGTGGAGGGAACTTAATTGTTACGTGACTGATTTCAATTTCAATTAATACACTTCTCACCCATTTCAAATTTCAATTTTGAATTTTGAATTGAGAACATCATTAATACAACTGTTTGCCACCAAGTATTTTATAATGATTTAAAAGAAACTCTCTCTCCTTTGTAGAATTTTTTTATTTACGAAATAAAAAATATTTCTAAAAGATGTAACTTTTCAAACTACCTCCAGTGTGAACACAAAGCTGAGAATTAAGGAGGAAGTGACACGTTAGCACATTTTTCAAAGTTTGGTTCTCCTTTCTATATATTAAGATATTTAATTGATTTTCTATTGGAATCATTCAGCATAGTTTTTTTTTTCCCAAAATTTATTTCGATTTTAAAAAATTGAACGACATCACAAGCATACAATCTCTCTCTAGAGAGAGATTTCTAATAGCTTACACATGTTGTTATATATGATTATTTACTAATGTTTTTTTTTTTTTTGGAGTTACTCAACTCTAATTATCTCTTTGAGACGAGTTGGCTCCCCCCGGTATCCTCACGAGCTTCGACTCTTTGAGTCGGCTATGAGACTAATTCGGAGTGCGGGGGAATAGTGATGGCTAAAGGTTTAGCCCCCTTCCCAAGAGTGCATTCAGCGAGAATCGAACACATATCCAACCCCACTAACTCAGCGCCAAGTTTCTTGATGCATTAGTAATGTTTCTTGATGCATAGAAAACAGAAAGTTTTAATCCAAAAATGATTTATCTAAAATTAATTATGTTCGCTTATAGATCGATTTCACAAAAATCCTATCACATTTCTCAACAACAATAAATGATCGAGCAGTGGCGCGGATCTAGCAAAAAAAATTTTATGTCTGCGCATTTAGTGGTGGAGGTTCGGGGGCAGCGCCCCCGAATATTTTTTTATAAAAAAAAATTAAATTAACGCTTGAACCCGCTCATAATCTAGTTGCTTCCATAACAAAGAATGAAGAACTCATGAGAATGGGTATGTGACAGGGGAGGAAGAAAAGTTTTCTCTCTAATCAATTTGTGTTGCTATCTTATTTTAATCATCTCTGTACGTTGCTAACTAATATAAGAAAAAATATCATTTTTGGTCTCTAACAAAAAATCCAGTCCCCACTTTAGTCCATTATAAAAAAAGAAAGTCACTTGGTCCCTATAAAATTTAAAGTGGACCTATTTTAGTCTTTTTAAGACTAATGTAAGTTTTTTTTGAATTTGTGAGGAATCACAATTTTAATTAAATTATCCACTATAAATTTTTTAGGGACCTTTTCGAGACTAATTTTTGGTAAGGGACTAAAATAGGGACCATATTTTTTGTTAGGGATTTAAAATGATATTTACACCTACTATAAATATTGAACCAAGAGACAAATAATAACTTATGACTACAAAAAAAAATTAAAATCTAAAATCTCATGTCCGCACTTGCGGACATGTGACCAAACCTGGATCCGCCAGCGTGATCAAGTATAACATAAAGCACAAAAATGTAGATAAATCAAAATCATGTTATTATGATTTTAAGGACGGCTATTTCAGCATGTTTTAAGTAGCAAGAGTGAGGTGGAGTAATATAGATCATAGGTTATATCATAGAATGGGGTTCTGCGCGCCTCTATATATATATATGTATATGTATATATATATGGACTCTCGTCTCGTCCTATTACAGTAAAAAAAACAATTTCTGCGACAAAAAATGACAAGTTAAAAAATAATAAAAAATTTGGAACAAACACTATATTCAATTATTTTGTTTTGTTCGTAGCTTCACATGACAAGAATCTTGTTCATGTAACATGATTGTTATTTATCTATATATATATATATATATATATATATGGAGTTTGTATCTATCATGTCACATGAACACAAAAATTTTTTCTACACACACAATATTTTGTGGGGTCCGCACTTTTTGAAGTAAAAAAAGAAGAAAAAAACTAAGGCACGCAAAACGAATCTCTATAACATTACACAATCACTTTTCCTACAACATAACTCTTATAAAACCCTATATATATAATTTATAGGGAGAGAGATCTTTTGACTTTAGAGTAAAATTTAAAAGTATTATTTCTCATCCCAGCCGTTGATTTCTGTTCATCTAACGGCTGGGATTTAATAATTTATAATAATTATTTAATTATTAATTTCAAATAAATAATAATCGTTATATGAACGAAAATCAGCGGTTAAGATTTTTAAATTAATAAGTATGACACAATAAATTATAAACGTTAATGTATCAAAAAACATTTATAACCGTTAGATTCACAATATCAACGGTTAGGATTTGGTGTCAATCCTTTTTTTTCTCTGACGAAGGAATACAGAATTTGATGTATTTATAGTCTCAACATTTGGATGTATATGAGTTTGAAAAAAATACTTTTTGCAATTATAAATGGGGAAAGGATATTGTAACAACCAAGTTGTGTTACTACTAAGTTACTACCAATCAATCTCACCGTTAGATCGATTGTGTTAATCCAACGGTTATATTTATTTTCATCTTTGTATGGTCATGATTTCTCAAATTTAATACTTTATATTTATTTCCACCTTTGTATGGTTATGATTCCCCATATTTAATGCTTTTACTTTAAATATGGGGAATCATAACCATACAAAGATGAAAATAAATATAACCGTTGGATCAACATAATCGATCTTACGGTGAGATTCATTGATAGTAACATGATAGTAACATAACTTGATTGTTACAATATCCTTCCCCTTTTAAAAATCAGTTCAAGAACCGAATCGATTTTTAAAGAACCAGTTCATGAACCAAACTGCATTTCAAGAACCAAATTGGTTTTTAAAACTAGTTCAAGAACCACATTGTTTTCGAACCGAATCGAATTAATTTTTATTACTTTAGTTTTTTAATTTTTTTCAGAATAGGGTCGGCCCGAACTTAACCATTTTCGAACTGAATCTTTTACATTAATTCGGTTTGATTTTTTTAAAAATTCAATTAAATTCGATGGATGCACACCCCTAATTACAAGTTGTTAGTCTTACTCTTATGAAGGAGTTGTGAAGAGCTTATTTTTGAAGGCAAGGTTACGGTTAATGGTCTATCTGTAATACACCTCAGGTTGGAAATTTTTCTCCAAATTACGTTATTTAATAGCATAAGAAGCATGTTTATATCATTATTTCATTGATCACAATTCATGAATTCTAGTTTTGATTCTTTGAATAGAATTGTTTGTGTGTGAAGTGTCACGTGTTGCATATCGATATTGATGCTGCAACACGAGTATCCATACATTGAATATATTTAACTCTTACATATAATTTTAATTTTTTTGTTTTTTTTAAAATTTATTATTATTATTATTTAAATTTCAAATTTTGTGTCGTGATAAGATAAGTGGGTCGTGTCCGTATTGTGTGTTGTTGCTAGTTGCTACAACACGGGTACCCATACTTCGAATATATTTAACTGTTGCATATAACTTTAGGTTTTTTTTTTTGTTGTTTTTAATATATTTTTTTAAAAAAAATCTTAATTTTTTTTTTTTTTAAATTTCAAATTTTCATATAATGTCACGAAGTAATAGTGGGAACAGTGACCAAAGTGTCACATTTGGACAAAAAATTTACCAAACTGCCACGCCAACAGTAAATTTTGTCAAAATGCCACGCGGCATAATTCGCTACACAATGTAGCGAATTATGTATGCAAGTAATTCGCTACACAGTGTAACGAAATATGCCACGTCAGAATGCACAGAACCAAAAATGCCACATGTCAAATTTTACAAAATTCGCTACATAGGGTAAAATTTGACATATGGCATTTTTGGCTCTGTGCATTCTGACGTGGCATATTTCGCTACACTGTGTAGCGAATTACTTGCATACATAATTTGCTACACTGTGTAGCAAATTATGTCGCGTGGCATTTTGGCAAATTTTACTATTGGCGTGGTAGTCTGATAATTTTTTTGTTCAAACGTGACAAAACGATCACTCTCCCTAATAGTGTCCACGTATTTGACCCGTCAACAAATAGGTAGTGCTCAACTTCTCTTCCCCCAAAGCCTAAAACCCTTGACTCCTCACTCAGTGCTTTGCTGTGACTCACAAACAAACAAACAATGCAGTCTTCTCTCTTCTCAGCCAACTCTCCGGTGGCTATCTCCACTTTATCTCACACTCACAGTCACAGATCTAATTCTCGTGGCGGTTCCTTCCCCTTATCCTTCTCAGTGAGAGCTTCCGTCAACGTCGAGTCTCCATCGTCAGAAAAAACAACACAGCATAAGCTCAACAAGTACAGTTCCCGCATCACAGAGCCAAAGTCTCAGGGCGCCTCACAGGCTGTCCTCTATGGCGTCGGACTCTCCGAAGACGACATGGCTAAGCCGCAGGTTGGTGTCTCCTCCGTGTGGTATGAGGGAAACACTTGCAACATGCATCTCCTCCGTCTCTCCGAAGCCGTTAAGGAAGGCGTTGCCGATGCCGGCATGATTCCCTTCAGGTTCAACACCGTTGGTGTCAGTGACGCTATCTCAATGGGCACCAGAGGCATGTCTTATAGCCTTCAATCTAGGGATCTCATTGCTGATAGCATTGAAACTGTCATGGCTGCACAGTGGTATGATGCGAATATCTCAATCCCTGGTTGTGACAAAAATGTAAGAATCTTCTTCTTCTTCTTCTTTTACATTCCTCATTTTCTACAATTTTACCTTTCCCTCTCAATTTTTTTTTTGCTCTGCATGTTTGTGCTCACTGTTTTACAGATGCCAGGTACAATAATTGCAATGGGCAGGCTCAACAGACCAAGTATTATGATTTATGGTGGCACTATAAAGGTACCAGACTCAACATTGTTCAAATGTTTGTGAAGCCAGTTTTGAAATTGCAAAACTAAAGGGGTAATTCATTTTTGTCTTGTCAATCTGTAGTATACAACTTTTGCCACTTCCGGCCAAATGAGGGAGAAAAAAAATTCGCTCTTCAAGAATCACTTATGCACTATGTAGCACCGACACGTGACACGATACTAACAGTCCCACACGTTGATTTTAAAAAATGTTAGATTTCGACATGTTAGGATACGTTTTGATATTAAATAATATTTTTAATTTATGTAGTGTATATTATATTTAATATTCAATAATTTAACAAAAAAATGAAACTAAACTTATAATATTCATCAATTTTGCAAAGAAACATAAGATATCCTAAATATTTATATTAAACTCAATAAAATGGTAATCGTAATCCAACGAATCTAATAGTTGAAACTAAAAATTTAACGCAATGCAACCTTTGAATCTTTTTTTGAATTTCTATAATGAGTGTTGGAGTGTCGGAGTATCGGAGTATCGAAGAGTGTCGGACACGACACGTCATGGTTTTTGAAGTGTCGTTGCTTCATAGCTTATGCATGCCTTTATTTGTTGTTAAAGTTATATGATAAATGTGTAGTCAGTGTAGATATTAAGGATTATTTTATGGTGAGCAGTAGTTTTGTCTATGATATCTAACATCGCCAAGCTTAGGATAATCATATTTGGATAATTGTTGTACGTCAGAGGATACTTGGATGGTGGAGAGATTGAAATACTGCCATTATTTTTTGTTCACTGTAAGCTGTGTGTGCAACTTGTTTAATATTTATACAGTTATTATCAGCTACTGATTGTTTATTTCCTTATTGGAAATGATATATATTTTTTTTAAATGTGGTTCTCATTCAGATGTCTTTGTTAATCTTCATTCTAATTTTTATAAATTTTTTTTCAGCCTGGTCATTTTCAGGGTAATACGTTTGACATAGTGTCTGCTTTTCAGGTATGAGATATCATTGTTGTTTAAATCTCATCCTATCTCTTATTGTGGTTATTAATTTTTCCTTCTTTTATTTGAGACTCATTCAAACAGAGGTAAATTTTGTTAAATAAAAGGTTATTTCAAGAGAAGGGAAATAAATATAATGGAGGAATGTAAGAAACCCTCTTTGAACAATTAAAAAATGAAAAGGAAAACTTAACTTAAAGGAACTCTCCAAGCCATTTACCCTCATGAGAAATTTCTCTTATTATTATTTTTTGAAGATATTATAAGAGAAGCTTTTCCAGGGATCATTTCGATTCCATTAGGAATGACGATTCGAGATATCACACATTGATCAATCAAAGAGAGATTCAGTATTGTCAAGGAGGATGCTCTATCCTGTGTGTTTTTGTATCCTCTTCCTGAAGTAATAATTTTTGTTCTTAAACTAATAAAAAAGAGACTTTTGTTATTGTTAGTCTATAATATAAATTTGTTTTCCCTGAATATCAAAAGTTGGACATCTATTCTCGAGGTAATGCAACTCTTGTTAATATTGTTTCATTAATTTTTGGTTTTGCTGTAGTGCTATGGAGAATATGTGAGTGGATCAATTAGCGATGACTACAGACAAAATGTTATCCGCAACTCTTGCCCTGGAGCTGGGGCTTGTGGTGGAATGTATACAGCCAATACTATGGCCTCTGCAATAGAAGCTATGGGAATGTCTCTTCCCTATAGGTAAGTATATGTGTAGGTTCTTGTGGTTGGATTCTTTTTTGAATGTGCTTACCTTTATTTGCTGATTTTGTAGCTCATCTACACCTGCTGAGGATCCACTAAAGTTGGATGAGTGTCGATTAGCTGGGAAATATCTTCTTGAGTTATTAAAGATGGACTTGAAACCCCGAGACATCATCACTCGTAAATCACTACGTAATGCAATGGTTATAGTTATGGCGCTTGGTGGATCTACCAATGCTGTGTTACATTTAATTGCTATTGCCAAGTGAGTGAAAGTTTGGTGCCAGAAATCCTATTGATATACAATAATCCTCAAAGGAAAGCTCATGTAATGATTTTGGCAGGTCTGTTGGCATTGATTTGACTCTTAATGATTTTCAAAAGGTTAGCGATGAGGTTCCTTTTCTTGCAGATCTTAAGCCTAGTGGGAAATATGTCATGGAAGATATTCACAAGGTATGCATTTAATATTTTTGTTAATTGATGGACCTGAGCAGAAGAATGTGACAAAAGTCTTCAAACGTAAGAGCAAAGGAGAAGCCCATGCCCATGCCACGAGAGAAAGTTCATCATTGTCATTGGCTGCCTTATATTCCCCTTTTTTCCATTCTCCCATTCCACTATCATCCCACTCGTTCTCTCCATTCATTGTTTGCCACGAAGCATCCCCATTAATTAACTCTTTTCCTTTATCATCTTTAGTCCTCTGATTGTTATTTTCTCTCGTGGCATGGGCTTGGGCTTCTCCTTTGCTCTTACATTTGTAGAATTTTTTCACATTCTTCTGCTCAGGCCCATCATTAACTAATTGAACAAACATTGCTTCTGTTATTCATTTTTCCTGGTCACGCATTCAGTGTTTATGCTATATTATCGTTATTAGTCTTTCTTGAAATTCCTTTTTATTTTAATAGATAGGAGGGATCCCTGCAGTTATCCGCTACCTTCTTGAGCAAGGCTTTTTAGATGGTGACTGTATAACTGGTATGTCTACTTGCTTTTGTGTGTTAAGAACAGAAGATTCATTTCCAATTACATTTCGCTAACATATCTCCTCTCTAGTCACTGGAAAGACCTTATCTGAAAATGCAGAGCTTTTCCCTCCTTTGCCCAAAGTGCAGGTATCCGTATAATGTTATTTCTGTTCAATTTTATCATACTCTAATACTCCCATGTTCCCATGGGTTGACTGTTAATAAATTGATCTCTCGACAAGCTGCACATTTTCTATGATTTGTGATTCAGGAAATAATAAGGCCGATAGAAAATCCCATAAAAAAGACGGCGCATATTCAAATATTATATGGGAACCTTGCCCCGCAGGGTTCTGTTGCTAAAATTACTGGAAAAGAGGGGCTGTACTTCTCTGGTGAACTTTCTTGCTGTGTTTTCTTAAGTTCTAAAAAAAAGTTGTTTTCCTCAAATTATATTTGTCCATATAACAATTTATTAATAACAGGGATTATTTAACAGGTCCCGCATTTGTTTTTGAAGGAGAGGAGGCAATGGTTGCTGCCATTTCAGAGGATCCTTTGAGTTTTAAGGTATTTCTTTCTATTTTTCCTAGAACTCAAGGCATAAGGACAGTGCTGATTGTGTAGGGTTTTCAAGAGATTTAAAACTGTTTGAATGAAGTATCAAAAATTGAGATTTTGGAAACGTTTACCAGTTCATATATGTTAGAATATTAGATATGATATGATTAGATTTGATTAGATATGATTGGATTCTGTCTTATCCGTAAATAGTCTGACTGTATTCTGACTGTATTAGGATTAAGTTTGGATTAGGTTTGGGCCTTACACTTAAGCCCATTAGGGTCTCTATATATTGTAACTCCTTGACACAGATCAATATATAACGTATTCTTTTACATTTAACTTGGTATCAGAGCTCTTTCGTTCTAGGAACCCTCGCTTCCGCTCAGAAACCTTGTTCTTTGCTTTAAAAACCTAAGCCCACTGCTTAGGAGTCCTCTTTCTTGCCGTGCGTCCTTCCGGCAAGCCTTCTAGGGCTGTAAACAGCCTCTGAGTGATTTTTCCAAACGCGTCAGCACCTCCGATGGCCACCGGAACCACCGCCCGCCGTCAGAATCACTGTTCAGGCAACCGGAGACTTTTTCCGGCAACTTTTCCGACCAAACTTCACGCGATCAGGACCCTTTCTTCCCGGCGACCAGGTCTGTGGTGGTCCGGTCAGCAACGCATCTCCCACGCGCCGTCACGCGCCACCTGTCTTCACTGCGCGTGGGCTTCACGCGCCACCTTCTGCCGGCGCGTGAGCACTATTCCGGCGGTTTTTTCCGGCCGGTCTTGGACAGAGAAGCTCGCCTTCTCCTCCCCTTTCTGGATCTGTGATTGTTTCTCTGTGGGTCTGACCTTAGACGCGTGGTTCTTCTTGATTGGATATCGTTTGCCTTCGTTTACGGCTTTTATATTTTATCTTTAAATGGCAGCAGCATCTCCTGATCTCTCGGAGGTTAACTCTCCTTCTATTGTTGCAAATATAGCTCAGTCAGACAAAGCATCATTTGGTTCAGGTTCGGACTGTGCTGTACTCCAAACCCCTCTCAGGAAGGCTTCTCCTCAGTCTCAGCCTTATACTGGTAATCCCGTTGCTTGTGTTTCTCATTCTACATCACTTGGCACTTAGATATTTGACTCCGGTGCTACCGATCATCTCTGTGGTAATAAGGAACTCTTTACATCCCTTACTTATTCTGATCATTTACCGTCTTTTACCCTTGCGGATGGAACCAAAGCCCCAGTTTGTGGGATTGAACAAGCTCGTCCGACCTCTACCTTGGCCCTGACATCTGTCTATTACATTCCTGGCATCCCTTATAACTTCATTTCTATTAGTAAGTTGATCCACTCCCTCACTTGCACCATTACTTTCTCTAACCATTCTGTTTCTGTGCAGGATCCGGGTACGGGGAAAATGATCGGAGTGGGTCGTGAGTCACGGGGGCTTTATTATCTGGATGTGCCTCGTCCTTCAGTAGCATGCTCTCTCACAGAATCTCCACAACTTATCCACAGTCGCCTTGGTCATCCAAGTCTTTCAAAGTTGCAGAAAATGGTTCCTCTTTTGTCCGGTCTTCAGTCTTTAGATTGTGTGTCATGTCAACAAGGGAAGCATACACGCTCCTCTTTTGCCAGTCGAGTCAATAAACGAGCTGATGCCCCTTTCTCTCTTGTTCATTTAGATATCTGGGGTCCAAGTCGTACCTTGTCTGTCTTAGGTTTTCGGTATTTCATTACCTTTATTGATGATTTTTCCCGTTGCACTTGGACCTATTTAATGAAAAATCGTTCTGAGTTATTTTCCATTTATAAAAAGTTTTCTACTGAGATCCATACTCAATTTGGTGTTTCTATTCGTATTCTACGTAGTGATAATGCTAAGGAATATGTTTCTATTGATTTTTCTAATTTCTTGGCCACACAAGGTACTTTACATCAAACTACTTGTCCTCACACTCCACAACAAAATGGGGTGGCTGAACGTAAAAATAGACATCTCATTGAAACTGCCCGTACCCTTCTTATTCATATGCAGGTTCCTCTTCACTTCTGGGCAGATGCTGTACTCATCTCTTGTTTTCTCATCAATCGCATGCCTTCATCTGTGCTCCACAATGACATTCCTCATAATCTATTGCTTCCAGATGTTCCTCTTTATCCTCTAACTCCACATGTCTTTGGTTGTACTTGTTTTGTTCATGATCTCACTCCTGGTAAGGATAAGTTAACATCCAAAGCCTTTCAGTGTATCTTTCTTGGTTATTCTCGTCTTCAAAAGGGTTATCGTTGTTATTCTCCCGACCTTAAGCGTTACTTAGTTTCCGCTGATGTCACTTTTCTTGATCAACAACCCTTTAATTCTATCCCATCTCAGATGTCACAGGTTGATCATGTACTTCCTGTCCTTTTTCTTGACTTGTCTTTGCCAGCTGCAGGTGCTTCTATTCCAGATGAGCAACCTATTGCTTCTATACCTGAGGACCGTCCACTTCTCACTTATCAGCGTCGCAAAACTGTGCCTCCTGTCGACTCGACTCTTGCTGACTCATCGCCCACTGCTGTTGCTTCTTCCCCTCCGGATCCTTCATCAGAGACTCTTCCCATTGCTCAAAGAAAAGGTACACGTACTACTCGTAACCCTTATCCTCTTTATACCTTTTTGAGTTATGACCGTCTTTCTTCACCTCATTTCACCTTTGTTTCTAGTCTTTCTTCTATTTCTATTCCTAAGACCACAGGTGAAGCACTTTCCCATCCAGGGTGGCGCCAAGCAATGCTTGATGAGATGACTGCACTTCATTCCAATGGCACTTGGGACCTTGTTTCTGCTCCTCCAGAGAAGTCTATAGTTGGTTGTCGCTGGGTTTTTACTGTGAAAGTTGGACCTGATGGCCATATTGATCGTCTCAAGGCACGTTTAGTTGCCAAGGGTTTTACTCAAATCTTTGGCCTTGATTATAGCGATACATTTTCTCCGGTCGCTAAGATGGCGTCAGTCCGCCTCTTTCATGCCCTTGCTGCTGTTCGTCACTGGCCACTCCTTCAACTTGACATCAAAAATGCCTTTCTTCATGGTGATTTACAAGAAGAAGTTTACATGGAGCAACCACCTGGTTTTGTTGCTCAGGGAGAGTCTGGAAAGGTGTGTCGTCTTCGGAAATCCTTATATGGTCTCAAGCAGTCTCCTCGAGCATGGTTCAGTCGTTTCAGTTCTGTTGTTCAGGCGTTTGGCTTAATCCGCAGTAAAGTTGACCATTCTGTGTTTTATAGGATTACATCTCCTGATAAGTGTATCTATTTGTTAGTCTATGTTGACGACATCATTCTCACCGAAAGTGATCAAGACGGAATTCGTCAGTTAAAACAGCATTTGTTTAGTACATTTCAAACAAAGGACCTTGGGAAGCTGCGTTACTTCTTGGGAATTGAGGTGGCGCAATCAAGACAGGGCATTTCTATCTGTCAAAGGAAATATGCCTTGGATATCCTAGAAGAAACTGGTATGTTGGGGAGTAAACCAGTTGATACACCTATGGATCCTAATGTCAAGTTATTACCCGGACAGGGGGAGCCGTTATCTGATCCTAGACGTTATCAGAGGCTAATTGGGAAGCTCAATTATCTTACTGTGACTAGGCCAGATATTTCTTTCGCTGTCAGTACGGCCAGTCAGTTCCTTGATTCCCCTTGTGATTCACATTGGGATGCTGCTGTGAGGATCCTCCGATACATCAAAGGAGCACCAGGAAAAGGTTTGTTGTATTCGGATCAGGGAAATACAGAAATTTGTGGTTACTCAGATGCCGATTGGGCAGGATCACCCTCGGACAGACGCTCTACTTCTGGTTATTGTGTCTTCTTCGGAGGAAACTTAATCTCATGGAAAAGCAAGAAACAACCTGTTGTTTCCCGATCTAGTGCAGAAGCTGAGTATCGTGCAATGGCAAATACTACCTGTGAGTTGATCTGGTTAAAGCAGTTGATTCAGGAGCTTCATCTTTGTGAACAGAAACAACCCATGACACTCATCTGTGATAATCAAGCTGCGCTACATATATCCTCTAATCCTGTTTTTCATGAGAGGACCAAACATATAGAGATTGATTGTCACTTCATTCGGGAAAAGATTCAGTCAGGAGAAATCAAGACAGCTTTTGTCAACTCGTCTAATCAACTAGCAGATGTTTTCACTAAAGCTCTTAGAGGTCCTCGGGTTGAATACATTTGTAACAAGCTTGGTGCTCATAATATATACGCACCAGCTTGAGGGGGAGTGTTAGAATATTAGATATGATATGATTAGATTTGATTAGATATGATTGGATTCTGTCTTATCCGTAAATAGTCTGACTGTATTCTGACTGTATTAGGATTAAGTTTGGATTAGGTTTGGGCCTTACACTTAAGCCCATTAGGGTCTCTATATATTGTAACTCCTTGACACAGATCAATATATAACGTATTCTTTTACATTTAACTATATATGCTAATCAACCTATATTAAATTCAAATTATTAGATCTAAGTTAATCACATTCTTGATGACACTGGATGGAAACACAAAGGGAATGACAAAGGGGATTGGGTATAGTTGCAGCAAAACGGCCTAGAAAGCACTGGGTAGAGCAGAGACCTTGGAATTTAGGAGAGCAGAACGAAAATTCCTTGAGATAATATTTTTGAGTTCTGCTGTATGTGTCTCGGTTTTACCCATAGCAAATATGTTGATTGGCTAGTAAGCAATCATCTAGGACTTTATTAAACCATTTAGTATCCTTTAATTCTATCATATTTACTTTAAATTCACCTAAAATAACTAAATAAAATCCCTAAAAATAATTCCTACAAAGGTCAAAGGCTGCCATAAAATTATCAAAATTCAAAATATCAGTATAATTGAACCCTTTTCTTGTGCTTAACACAGCATAGCTTCGGACCTATCTTCTTAGTCACTAGACATTAAAGTTTCTTTATTAGATATACAGAGTTTCTCTTTTTAAAATAAATGATGACTTTAGAGTATTAACATTTTGCAACATTTTTCTGAATTGAAACTACAGAATGTTTCAATTAAAAACTAAAAATTCAATTTAGTTGAGCAGCAACAACAACAACGACAACCAAGTTATTGCATACATTTTTTCTGTTAGAGTCGCAGTGATTTGCTTTTGCTCTATCTCTGGCGCTTGTTGCACCAAATGTTTCTTTGGAGCTGCACTAATTATGAATTTGATTCAAATTGCTGCATTTCACTGCCTTGTCAGTTGTCACAGTATTGATTTAGTTTTTCTCAGGTATAACCCCAGTCAGTTGCAGCTAATATGAAAATCTTATCTGGTTTCCTCCCTATGATATTCACCTTTTCAGGGGAAAGTGGTTGTAATTAGGGGAGAGGGACCTAAGGGTGGTCCTGGCATGCCTGAGATGTTAACACCAACGAGTGCAATAATGGGTGCTGGGCTTGGAAAGGTCAGTCCTGTGTCTCCTTGTTTATTCTATTTACTTAGTTTGTAATAGTGCTCTGTCCATTATGACTATCGACTAACGTGAACAATTTTTCATTTTATTTTGTTTTCCCCATACTTTTATCGAACTCAATAAAACAGGAACCCATATTTTTATATTTTTGTTTAGCCAAATGCTTGTATAATGATGCTTTAGCCATTATTTTTTTAGTAGAAACTGAAATTCCTTTTTTTCAAATTTTTTGAACCTTGATACTGGACCTGTACTGGTGTGACATTTCTTAAGGATATTGTCTTTCGATGCTGCAGGATGTTGCATTGTTGACTGACGGGAGATTTTCAGGAGGTTCACACGGGTTCGTGGTTGGCCATATTTGCCCCGAAGCACAGGTGAATTGACTATGCTTTATAATGATTTTAATACTGCTATAATAAACTAAAAAAATTCAGATGCATCCTATGTGAACTGTAATCTCTAAGATATTTGATTAAATGATTTTGGGCCTGCATTTAATTATTCGAATGTAAGGAATGTGTAGCAATAGCATGTCTTTCTTTTTAGTTAATTACAATATTCTTGTAAAACTTTCCTCAGCTCATGGAGTACTGTTGATGCCAGTGTTGTAAGAACCAACTAGTTTGGTTTTCTTTTAATAACCTAGAGTGGTCAAAATAGCTACATGTTCATGAAATTCTGAGCAATAGTGTTAGAGTGCGAACTTAATGTTTATGGGAAATGGTATTGTGGAGTGATGATAAGCTGATGACTTGACATGCTTTTATTTTATATTTCTTCTGGGACATGTTCATGTATTTACTCTATGAAGATGAAGAAAATCTTAATTATTGTTTCTTGTAGCTAACCAATAATATTCTTCCTGGCTTCATTTATTTTATAGGAAGGCGGTCCAATTGGCTTGATTCAAAATGGAGACATTATCAACGTTGATGTCCAGAAGAAGAGAATTGATGTTTTGGTAACAGATGAGGAGATGGAGGCCCGCAGGAAGAAATGGACTGCTCCTCCATACAAGGCTAACCAAGGAGTTTTGTACAAGGTATGAGACACGAAACTCCTTCCTGACAAGAACTATATATATATATATATATATATATATATATATATATATATATGAGGTAGGATCCTTTGACACCGGTGTCAAATTTGAAATTTGACACCTCATCTGATAGCCGTTAGATCAAAAAAGATCAATGGAGTCACATGCTTACAAATCAGAGTCGTTGATTTTTTTTGATCTAACGGCTATCAGATGAGGTGTCAAATTTGACACCTCATCTGATAGCCGTTAGATCAAAAAAAATCAACATATAGAGGTAGGATCCTTTGACACCGGTGTCAAATTTCAAATTTGACACCTCATCTGATAGTTGTTAGATAAAAAAAAATCAACGACTCTGATTTGTAAGCATGTGACTCTATTGATCTTTTTTGATCTAACGGCTATCAGATGAGGTGTCAAATTTCAAATTTGACACCGGTGTCAAAGGATCCTACCTATATATATATATATATATATATATATATATATATATATATATATATAGTTCTTGTTACTTTCTGGTTCATATAGTGTATATGAATACTACCTACTCTGGTCCCTCTATTTTCAATTGTTACAATTTAGTTGTCCTCTTCCCTTTAGACATTCTGAATATAGAGAGGTTTTAATGATGTGTTTGATGGAAAGGATAACAGCATTCTAAGCTGGTGTTGCTGTGGTCAAACACTAGTAAAATTTATAAAATATCTAAAGAATCTTCGAAGGATGGATGTGATTGAACAACTTGCAGGACTAAAGTATAGCAACTGAAAATATAGGGATGGAAATGAATTTTTATTGAAATTAGAGGAGCGAAAGTGTAAATATGTAAAAATGCACACACACCTTGTGGATAATGAAACCTGATTTACAAATTGTTGGTAATTTTTTCTTCCCGTATTTTGAGCTTATATAGTGTTTTTTCTGCATCCAGTATATTAAAAATGTGAAACCTGCTTCTAGCGGATGTGTGACAGACGAGTAGAGAGGACACATTTTTGGTGGCCTTAGTAGCGTTTTGATGAGGTATTGCTATTTTGGCTTAAACAGTGTATGTCTATGTAGCTCGATGTATCTCTTGTTGGATTTCATTAATTTTTTGGTATATTATTCTAGATTTGAACCCTACCACCTCTCTTTGCTCTGTCATTGTCTTTGATCTTCTCAACTGTAAGTTTTTTTTAATTGTTATTAAATGTTGTATCAGTTAGTGATGATATTTAGATTGATGCCTTGGCAAAATTTCACTTGTGTTTCCCAGAACAAGTTGGCAAAAAATTCAACGGTGATAAACAAATGGCCACAGCTTGAAAAGAAAAACGTCTGTATAATTATAACAATAATAATTCATTAACGTTGTGTTTGAGTGGAGTATTTTTTAAATTTCAGATCATTTGAAATGCTGTGTAATTGAATTGCAGCAATTCTATACACATCATTTTTTTTTTTAAAAAAAACTTATGTTAAATTAGATTTTCTAGAGCCATCCCCATCTTTGTTTTCAGATTCCAACATAGCTACTGTCTTTATTTCTTTCAATGCTTATTTTATTAAATTGGGAATACAAATTAGGAACAGGGTTTGCAATCAAACTGCCCTGCCGATGGGAAGCTTGAGTAATTTGCTGTTACAGTGATGTTGGTAATAGTGGTTTTGGTGGCTATGAGGGTGCTGAAAGTTTTTGCTATTTTGTGTCTACAAGCTCAGTTGAAATGGCAATTCCTCAAGCACAACGGTGATTATTATATCTCACTTTTTCAGCACCTTAACAAGATTTGTATACATATTCCATGCCAGAAAACAATATTCACAACGGCATCCGATTTGAAAAAGAAAATATCAAATAATTATACAAATTTTTTACAATGATTGTATTAAATATCCAAAAGAATTATGATAAGTCATTTTAAATTCTCTGTATTTTCAAAAGCACCTAAATTTATAAATAAAAACACGTATCTACAATGAGAAAGCCAAGACCATGAAATCCAAATCATTAGCCAAATATCCTCTTCACCCAAATTGGAAGTCTCTTGTACTTGCGTGGAGTGAGGTACCCAAATCATACACTGTGACATTAAGCCTCGAAACGCTTTGCTTGATGACAGTTGCACTTTAAAGATATCTGACTTTAGCCAAGCTGTTGGAGGATAAGGATAAGCTGTTATTATTATCAAATCTAGTCATTGATGAGGCTGGTGAGGAGAGCATAAGGATAAACTGCTATTATTATATTATTATCAAATGTGGTCATTGATGAAGCTGTTATGATAGGATTATGCTTGTTTGTATTTAAAATTCAAATTGTAGATAAGTCTTCTGTTTTACCTTTTGTAATATTCACGTCTATATATGATGTTCCTTTATACCGTGAAAAATCAATGAATAGCAAATACCATTTCTAATATAGTATTAGAGAGAACTATACCTACACTTTCAGTGTTACAAATACCATTTCTAATATGGTATCACGGAGAACGATACCTATACTTTCCGTGTTATACTCGGATTTACTTTTATTTAGTACAAAACCATGTCCTTCAGCTCTTTCTCAGCAATGGCAAAAGATAGCACCAGCAACGGGACAATTGCCATGAAAAACGCACTCAAACCAAAAGATAGCTCCAACAACGACTATTACTGATTCTATGTTTGATTGATTGTTAAATATTATTGAGAATATGTGATATTTTACAAAATTAATCTTACAATTAACATTCAGCCAATTTTATTTTTACAATCCATTATTGTCGAAAAGCACTCCAGAAAACAACTGAGACTTATGTTCTAGATACAGCCAAAGAATCCAGATTAGACAGTGGTGCTACAGCCAGGAAAGGCCTTCACCTGTGTTTGCAATTGTTGGGAGTTTGCCCAAAACCAGTAGCAAACATAGCAACATTTCTCTTCAATAAAGACTTCATGGAAGGAGAAAGATTAAACCTCTTGAGGAATTCAATATCTCTTTGCAACTGCAAATTCTTTTCTCCACCACAAGAGAAGAACTCAGTCACCGAAGAATCCAAGCCTCCCTATTTCCATATTCCCAACCCCCATGAAAGCTACACAAAGCTGGATATGGCATCCCTGTCGCATGAATCTGAATCTATTTTCGCCGATCGAGATTGATTTTTAAATTCTTTTCTATGATTTTGTTGATTTTCATGTGAAGATGAATAAAGGGGTAGAGAGAAGAGAGGTTAGAAATCGAAAAAGAAGATCAAAATCGAAACGTGATGGAAGGAAGTAAAGAGAGAATACTCACATATGGTGGATGAAGATTGAATCAAATATTGAGACCAACGAACGAACCAAATAGAAGAGAAAGAGAGATTTGGTCCGAAAATATTTTGAAAATTTCCCATCACCTGGGAATTTAAGAATACCATCCCCTAGTGATATTCTTGGATTGCATTTTGGCATATAAATGGTTCACAAATCAAAATCATGGGAAAATTAAATTTTCGAAATTTTTTTCAGAAACCTTGTACCAAAAATGGGTAAATAAAATTTTCAAAAACCTTGTAAATAAAATGGGTAAATTTTCCATTCTTAATTCTCTACTCATCTTTTAATTGTTTGAATCCTTTTCTTGCATTTAATTGTTTGACATTTGTTCTTTTAATTGGCTTTCCATCAATTAAACATTACTCTTCCCAACCAACTTTTGATTTGTCCAAATTAAGTGAAATACTAAAAAACAGTGATTGAAACACTTAGAGCTTGTTTGGATCCTTTTTTTTTTAAGCTAAAGCTAAAAAAGAGCTTTAAAAAGAAAGCTAAAAGCTGTTTGAAAATTAAATAAAGATTTTAGCTTAAAAATTACTGAAAAGCACATATTTCAAAAAAATTATCTCTTTATCACTCTTCATTTTAAAAAAAAAATACAATTCAAGAAAAACAGATAAGAGCTTAAAAAAAGCTCCTTCTATGAGCTTTTAGTTTTCAGCTTTTTTCTTCATTATAAAAAAAAAACTTTTCATTATAAGAGCTTTACTCAAAACCTGTTTGGCCTAGCTTATGCTTATAGGTAACTTCTTAGAGTTGGCAAAAAAGCCCTAAGCCCAGCCCATTCAGCCCTAATAAAGCCCCATCTGTTTTCAGCCCCTTGTGTGGTAGGGCCATCTTAGCCCTAACCCATAAGATCCATTCATTTATTGGGCTGGGTTAGGGTTGGCCCATGGATCAAAAATATTTAATTCATTTTCTATCCTATCACATAATTTTCTCGGGAAAACTGTGTTCTCCTTTTCGTGAAACCCTAATTTTATTTTGTTCCGGCATAGAGCCTATCACACACGCACCCATGTTCGCTTTTTCATCGCTCTTCGCACCCATCTCGCTTTGAAGTCGAACAACCCTAACCTAAGAAGGAAGCAGGAGCGGGAACTGCAAAGCAAACACTTCATATGTAGCGTTGCTTTCTCAGTAGTCTTAGCAGGTACTTTCTTGGATTCTTCTTCCGTCTCTTCAGAAATTAATGCCAACTAAAGGACAGTAATAATCACGGATCTTCTATTGTTTTCCTTCGATTGGACAAAATTAACTTTACCCAATGCAATTTCGCTAGGTTACCCTTACTTCGCCCTGTCAATTTCTCAATGGGATGATGGGACTATTATGTTTATGGCTTCACTTTTGTGTTACCCCTAAGACTGTTTCAAGGAATTTGACCTTTCGGATAGGCATAGAGATTTGCAAGAATTGATGCATTCTTGATTTTTCCTTATGTTCTTTGTTATTAGACTTTTGTTGTTTTAGAGCAGATCTTGTTTTGATGCAATAACCGGATATTTCAATCTCTTGGATTTCAGTGACAGGAACTCTGAAAGGATATGACCAATTACTTAACCTTGTCTTGGACAAAGCTGTAGAGTTTCTAAGAGGTAAATACTAAATAGTACCAGCATTTTGTTTGACATCTAGTGACTCAATGATATATATGTTTTAGCATTTATGAATTTTGAAGACTAATATATCTATAGTGGTAGCTTTCTGTGAGAGAGGTGAACGAATTCATTTATGTGTTTAAGAGAGAAACAATTTATGGAGGGCTAGCATGAGTATTAGTCTGTTCAACACAGGGCAAATATTTATATAAAGACTGTTTCATATGGAACATAATGAATTTATCAATGGTTTATTCTTTTAAATAGTATATTGCTTGAACTTTATATATATCTAATAGAGTATGTCTGACTTCTGACGTTTGGACAGCATCTAACAGCGAGAGTTACATCTGTTTAACTGTCCATTTTGTTGATGAAAAATGGAAATTAATTAGCAAGATTCTTAATTTTTCTCGACTGAAACCTCCACACACTGGGATTGAATTGGAAGCCGCTATATTTGATTGCTTAAAGCAATGGGGAATTGAGAAGAAAGTATTTTCTATTACTTTGGACAATGCTGCAAATGATAACATGCAGCTTATATTGTTAAACCATCTCCGTTTGCAGAATACTTTGTTGTGTGATGGTGAATATTTTCATATACGTTGCTCTGCACATATACTTAATTTAATTGTTCAAGAAGGTTTGAAAGTGGCTGCTGAAGCACTTTATAAAATCAGAGAAAGTGTTAAGTATGTGAGAGGATCAGATGGGAGGATGATTAAGTTTCAAGATTGTGTGGAACAAGCAGGCATAGACACGAGCATTGGTTTGAGATTAGATGTGTCAACTAGGTGGAATTCTACATATTTAATGCTAGAAAGTGCACTTAAGTATGAAAAGGCATTTGATATTCTCCAAGTGATAGATAGGAATTACAAATATTGTCCGTCATGTGAAGAATGGAGAATAGGAGATAAAATATGTGAATTCCTAGAACCCTTTTACGAGACTACAAACATGATTTCAGGTTCATCTTATCCAACCTCTAACTTATACTTTGTACAAGTTTGGAAGATTGAGTGCATACTGAACGAAAACTTGTATAATGATGATTATACTTTAAGTGATATGTCACTGAGGATGAAAGAGAAGTTTGACAAATATTGGAAGGAATATAGTACAGTTTTAGCTTTTGGAGCTATTCTTGACCCGCGTTTGAAGCTTGTTTTCTTAGACTTTTGTTACACAAAAATTGATCCATTTACCTCCCAAAATAAGGTTAAAAATATAAGAGAAAAGTTTGAGAAGCTATATGAAGAATATGCGAGCAATCTCAAAGGATCAAGTACTTCTAATTCTCATTCATCCATCAAATCCAATCTCTTGCACAAGTCAAGTGGTGAAAGCAATAGGTGAAAAAAATCAAAATTATACATAAGTGTAAGTTCTTTCGTGCTAATTTAGTCATTTTTTTTCATTGTTGTTTCGTTTATATAATTGATATATCAAATTTTGCAGGAGTTTGAAAGGTTTGAGAATGAAAGTATGTTTGTTGGTGGTAAGAGTGAATTAAATCTTTATTTAGATGAACCAAAAGCTAAATATGGTGATGGGGAGGATTTTGACGTGCTTAATTATTGGAAGCACAGTGAGAATAGATTTTCCACACTCTCTATTATGGCCCGAGATGTGCTAAGTATTCCAATTACTTCAGTGGCATCAGAATCGGCTTTTAGTATCGGTGGGCGTGTTCTTACCAAATATAGAAGTTCCATTCTTCCTGAAAATGTCCAAATGTTGATTTGCACTAGGAATTGGTTGCATGGTTTTCTCGAGAATCTTAATGGTAATGCTTTGAGTTATTATGCTTAATATTTTAATATTGCTTGGTTATGTAGGGATTGATTGTCTAATTTAGTAGTTTTGTTTCAATTGGTTATGAGTTTTAGATGAAGATGATTCTAATACTAGTGATCATGAAACATCAACATCACAAGCCAATGTGCATCAAGAAGTTAAAATTGAAGATTAGAGAGGCATTTCTGTTAGTAGCTAGTTGAAATTTATAGTTTAGATCCATTGATTATGTGTAGGTTGAGCTTAATTGATTTAATTGTGATGATATTTAGTATTTACATTAATTTTGTGCAGAATTGATCCCGCGAAGTTGAGGCCACTGCTGCTGCTGTATATTTGGCATCCATTCTTGAGTATATGACAGCAGAATTTCTTGAACTTTTTGACAGCAATGCTAGGAATTTACATTGATAGCAATGCCTCCATTCTTGAATATTTACATTGAGAGCAATGCTGGAAATGCATGTAATTAGAATATTTTGTTGCCTTGATTCAGTTTGTAGGAAAGTATGCTAACTTTTTTCACTTAATGCTTGGTATTCTGAAGATTTAGTCATTTAATTTCTTTGTTACAATGTTGACATCTTATTGTAATCTGCTGCCCCATATGGATCACACAAGTCATTTTATATAAGATTAGTTTCCTCTGCATTACTATAAAATCTGTTTTCATTAGTGATACTGTCACTTTTTTTTTATATGAGAAAATGTTGCTCCTTAATCTATTTTTAATGCAGGTAAGGACTTTTGAGATACATTGCTATATCAAATATGATTTTTTTTTTTAAACAAAAAAATACATATTAAATTTTTGGAAGGCCCATGGGCTAGCCCTAACCCTTAGGGCTTTTGGCCCATGTGGGCCTATACCATTGTGGGCTTTTTGGCCCTAACCCATGCGGGCTAGGGCTAAATGGGCCGGGCTGGCCCATTTTGACAACTCTAAACTTCTAACTTAAAAAAGAGAGCATTCAAACAAGCACATAATCCACACTCTACTCACTTCTTTATTACTTGTATAATCGATATACTTGTCGTGATCCCAACATCAGCCCCCCGCTTATCCCCACAAACTTCAACTCTTTGAACCAGCTATGAAACTAATCCCGAATTAGAGCTTAATCATAAAGCACAAAAATGTAGATAAATCGAAATCATGTTATTATGATTTTAAGCACGGCCATTTCAGCATGTTTTAAGTAGCAAAAGTGAGGTGGAGTAATATAGATCATAGGTTATATCATAGATTGGGGTTATATATAAAAAGTCACTAGGATTGGTCTAGTGGTAAAGGATTTTGGTAGTTTGTATTAGATTAAATGTTCAATTCCCACCAATGCATAAAAAATAAAATAAAAATAGATTAGGGTTCTGCATGATAGAATTTACTTACAAATGAATATATATGATCAACTTACACCAAATCTTGTCCGTTGATTTTCATGCATCTAACGATTGTTATTTATATATACAATCATCTATGTATCACATCAGAGCAACCCGAACAGTTCATCATAGCAGAAGGATGCACAACCTGTATAATTGTATCCTGTATGTGCAGCAGATAACAAACTCACGTTTCTAAGGTCGTTCAATTGGACCTTCAACTTATACATTTTTCGATATTTAAGTCAAGATATCGAAAGCTTTTGCATGATTGATGACCCTTGTAACTGCCATGAACCTTAGATAGTTTTGTCTTCCTATTTTCAACTCGTTTATTCCTGGCAGTACACAAGATATTATAGACAAAATAAAACACAAAAAAGCAGTAATTAGCTCAATATATGTTGTAGAACATTGATGGAAGACTCAATTAATTGGAACATAAGACTTCGTGAGTCTTAGAGATGATATAGAATGGTGCATGTTATGGGTCTCAATTTGGAACGATTTACCAAATCTTGCCCAGCAATCAAGAATCATAGGTATGCACACATATATCAGAAACAGTAATCATTCAAGTTAAAATTTGCAGAACAGTTTTTCTTTTCATTTAATGATAAGGATCATGAGCCCTGACCCTGGAACCTTTTAAACACACCAGATGAAGGATAAAGTCTTCTTACCTTAGAATTCTGGTTTGAAGCAGATGAACTTGTTTCTGATACTGCCTCAGATATTCGGGCTTCTGATTTCTCATTTGAATAGCTAAAAACAAAAACAAGATTGTGTAAGGACAAGAATCCTATTGACAATTTAATGATTATATGTAAGGCAATTTTAATGCTATTCATAGAACGTGCATCCGAGCATAAAATGTCATGGTTAAACATCCATCCTGAAATGGGCATTACTCTTGTGACCATTATTAGATACTTAAGCATCCAAAAGGACACTAAAATACTGCTGCTCATGTGTGTGTGTGTGTGTTTTGGGGGGGGGGGGGGGGGGGGGAATTAATTTGTAATAATTCAATATAATATGACAAATAATCTTAGAAAACCTACGTTGAAAGTATTGTGACCCAGATGAGCTCCACACAGTCCACCCAAAGAAGCCTTTGCTCCACAGGAACCACACCATAGGTAATCAGATGGGCAAAAGGCCAAAGCTTCCACCCTGCCTGTGAAGCATATTATAGTTAAAGTATAGTCATCCAACCAGAAGAAAATATGCTAATCATACAATTATATGGGGAGAAGAATACACATTTTATTCATCATACTATTCTTCATCCTTGAATTGTTAGTTGTATCAGTGTAAACAGAATTCCTCTTTGACCCCTTTCTTCCTTCAATGCTGCATATAGGAAGGGGGAATCCTATTTGTTTGCAGGAACATATTGCAGGAACATCACCTTCTCTAGATCCTATTTGTTTGCTTTGGCATATGCAAGCAGAGGCATTGGATCATTTGTTATTGTTATGCCCACTTGCCGGGGCCCTTTGATTTGCTACAGATCTATCAGTTAGGAGTTTAGGACTGAGAACATTTCACAGCCTTCCATTCAGGACTGGCTTCAAACATGGTTGCATTATACTCAGTTCATGAGCAAGACATACAGGCACACACGATACCACTGTTGTGACACTTGAAACAATTGGCATCAGAAATAAGGCAAGGTTTGAGGATTAGTTACCAAAACCAATTCAAGTAAATTATAGTTTGAGAGCAAGATACAGAGATTATACCCAGGCTTAGAATGAGGATAGGATGGAGCTACCTGAAAATTTGAATCCTAGGCTCACTATAGTTCCTACTTCCCTACTATATCCCAATACTACTATCATGCTCCAAATTTGTGCCTTAAGTTATGACATACTCCAAGTGGATATAGCTAAGTTTTTAGCTTGGTACAATTGTCAATATGTTTTTGATATATCTCCAAGACTTTACAATGACACTAAAGTCATGTGAACAAAAAGGCAAGTAATTACAGATAACATCTGAAAATAGCACAAAGAAACAGATAAAATAGACTCTTACAGTAAGCATGGGCAAAAATGTTGACTTGAGTTCAGCATATATGTTTGTCAGAGGTTCTAAACGCAACAATCCCAAAACCACAAAGTAGATACTGTTCCAAATTGCTGCCCATACAGTTTGGTCAAAAGCAACTTTAGCAGGGACAACCCACCACTCTTTGAAAGGAAAAAGAGCCTGTGAAATAATGCAAACAATTTCAGCCCTTCACAGAATATCACCTTAATATTCCAACCCAAACAGGCACAATAATTACCTCACAAAGTTGATAGTAATAGTGAGACAGAGATCCGTGGAGAGTAAACCCAACAAGACCTGATCTGAATAATCGTGTCCGATCAAACTCAAAAATAGGCTTTCCTTCATAGCACTGTATATTATGGTTACAAATAGCAGAAAATTTGATAAAAACTTTATGATCAAGATAAGTATTTCATTTTTATTTTTTTTGTGAGTCAAAAACATACCTGAGCAATCCAATCTCCAATTGAGTAGACAACCCCACTTATTGCCATTTTAGCTAAAACCGGGTTTGCTTTCAGAGCTTGCTCATAGGCAATCCAGTTGTGTTCAGGTGCATACCTTAGTATCTCATAAAGGGTCCAACCCTGAATAATAAGACCCTAATTAGTTGTCAGGTTCTTCCATATATTACACAGAAAATGCATTGCAAATTCCTTTCTGAATTACTCTCATAGTAGTTAATTGCACCGCAATAGCGCCGCGAGCCGCGCCGTATGGGCGTTGCGGTGCCTCGCCACAAGAAACCGCGTTGCGTCATATCGAAACACAACAGCGGCCATTGCGATCGCATTTGCGGCCATATTGCTTTCATAAGGCAAAATGTCAATTTTGTCCTAAATTTAAACGTGTAACCGAAAAAATTTAAGGGTTTTTTAACCTATTCGCATCTCTCTGTCACTTCTGCTATCCCTTTAAAAAATGTTTCTTTCTGTCATTATTTATGTCATATATCTATTCCGCTGTTTCCGCAACCGCAACCCATTATAATGCTATAGCGTTTTCCGGGGTTGGCCGCGACATGCCGCAATCCGCATTTGATAACTATGATTACTCTATTATTAACCATCTTCCCCCTATTTATTTATTATTATTATTATTTGTAAAAAGAGAATTGTGCAACCAACAAGATTATTGCTGTTAAGCTTGGAACTAAGTGTTTTTAAAAAAAGAAGAAGCAAAATTTGTATTGAAATTGAAGATACTGACATGCCAGTAATCATGGTCAATCGTGAGCAATTTGGTGACAACAAAAGTCCCAAACCCCAAAACGATGATGGCATTGATGGTACTGCTTGTGAAGGTGACACGATCAGAATCACGAGCAACATCTGTGTCAACCTTGGAAGGTGAAAGCCCTTCAAGTTCGTGTAAACGTGCTCCTCTGTCTTCTGAAACAGGAACTACCTCACGATCCTCTGCAACGGAGCTGATTATATGACTTCGTTTATGGGTTCGGGAAGAGAGGGGAACTATGGAGAAGAGGGGCTTCGAGAAAGTTGAGGTGAGGAGGGGAAGAACACTACTCGGAGTGTTAACGCTGCAATGAGAAGCAACAGCCATAGGAGGCAGAGAGAGAGAGAGAGAGAGGTTCAGAGGATTGTGTTTGTGTCGTGTGGGATGGTTACAGAGAAAGAAAGAAGGGTGCGAGAGTCATTAGTTGATTGGTCGGTCACGTGTTTCGTGGCATCACCATTTTCCTGCTACGCCGACCGTGTTATATTATATAGTCAAAGTACGAATCAATCTTACGTGGGAACTGGGATCCAAGTCCAACTCCACTTTCACTTGCAATGCAAAATACCACGTTGAAAATGTATAACCAAGAAAATATATAAGACTAATATTGTGCCGTGTTTCCGCCTCCAAACCACATTTTTAGTTATAACTTATAAATCTTATTTATGTTTAACTATTTTAATTTATTAATTATGTAATTGATTAAATATAAATAAAATTAATATCTAAAATTGAGTGTAAAACTTATTTTTTTTGCATGAGTTATATACTATGATACACCGACACGAGACACAACATGATACGACACACTGATGCATTAATTTTAAAAAATGTATTTTTCGACACGTTAAGACACGTTTTGATATTAAATAATATTTTTAATATATATAATATATTTATATTTATTACATAAAATAGCCACAATAAGACATATAACCAATCAAATATTTAAATTTCATAACATAAATATAAAGCAAAAAGTTTTTCATACCTTATTAATTTTTTATGTCAAATTCCATAATAGAAAAAAATTGACTTATAAATTAATTTTTTATTTTTAATTAATAAAAAAAATTTAGACCTTAAAAAAAATGTGTTGGATGCGTGTCGGAGCGTTAACCGTGTGTCGGTGTCATGTCAGAACGTGTCGGTCTCTGATTCGCAATTTTTTTTTTTTGAAATCACGTGTATATATTTCATTAGTTCTCTCAACTCCCTAAACGCTGTAATTTTCGGTTGCTGGTATATAAAATAAAATTAAGTTTTATTTTTTAAAAAAATAACCTTTTTACACAAACAGGTAATTAATAACTGAATATGATATTCGCATTAAAAGGTAACATTAATGAAGCAATAAAATTAAAAAAATTTAGTTAAAAAAAATTAAGAAAATTGGATTGAGTGGAAATGTGGGATTCTGGTCGACCCATGATTTCGGCTATGGACTTGTTCAGTTCTTTGTTTTGAGATTGTTTCGGCCCAACCCATTTCCTTAGTTGCTTTTTTTTTTTTTTTTTTGATAACATTAAGGGGCGAAGCCCCAAACAAAAACAAACTAACAACCAGAAACAAAAAATAACTATCCAGGGTCTATACCCCTACAAGAGGAGATTCCCTGAAGATCGTGATCAAATAACTGAGCAAGGTGAAACGACATAACTCTATGACTCCAGAATCCAGTATCTTTGTGAAGAGCAGACTTGGCTAACCAATCGGCACATGAATTAGCTTCCCTTGGAATATGAGAAAGCGTTACCTCCCAATCCTGACCGATGAGTGCTTGTATCTTAGCCACTATACGAGGCTGACAAGCTGCATTGCAATCAGCAAGCAAAGAGAATACTTCAGAAGCATCTCCTTCTAGTTCCACCTTCTTAAATCCCAGTTGCCAAACCAATTCCAGACCTTTTAGAGTCCCCCAAAGCTCCGCCATTAAAGGAGTGCAAGCACCAATATGATACTCAAAGCCTCCCAACCAAGAGCCATCATCAGATCTGATAATCCCACCACAAGCAGCCACCTCAGTATTCCTTTCAACTGCCCCATCAATATTAATCTTCACCCAATTTAACCTTGGAGGTTTCCATAAACTCATACGAGTTGGATGAATGCTAGTAGTAGCCATAGCCTTCCTATCCATGCAGTTACGAACTTCCTCTATATACATAGCAATTATGTGCGTTCCATGGGTTGGATGCTTGAAGTTAGTATCATGGACACTTTTGTTCCTCCATCCCCAAATGAACCAACAAGAGATAAAAAAGACATCACGCCAATCATCTGAATTACTTTGATTCCAAACTTTTGAGATATTATTTTCAATCCAATCTCTAAGATCCAAGCTGTAGAATAAGCTTTGCCGATTAGCTGAAACCAGAAAATTCCAAACACTTCTAGCATGCTTACAATCTCTTAGAACATGGAGGTTTGTTTCCAACTCACCAGGACATATTTTACAATGACCAGATTCCCCACTCCATCTAGATGTGCGGTCTTTAGTAAGAAGGCGGCCATGCATTATGATCCACATACAAGATTTAACACGTTGAGGCCCATGCCATTTCCATATGGTAGTCCAAGAATTTTTCAACGGCATGAGAGGGAAACCAAGCATGTTATAATATGCGGTTTTAACTAAAGAGCAGCCAACCTTTTGATTTCTCCAAATAATGCGGTCATTTCCATCCGATGCGCTAGGAATGAGAGCAGCTTGGATCCTTGCAACAGCTTGATCATTGAGATATTGACGAATATAGGGAAAGTTCCATTGACCAGTATTGCTGTTCACGAAGGCACTAACAGGGAGATTCAACTCCAAACCAGTTGGAGTACGAGTAGCCAGAGAGGCAAGACACTCAGTTAAACCCAACCAATTGTCTGTCCAAAATAATGCATCATTACCGTCTCCAATCTCCCATTACATTGCTTGAAGAAAAGATGGCCAAACACTACACAGATTTTTGCAGAAGTATGAGTCATATGCTTTATGATTTACTTCCCTCCGAAGATCCAAACCTCTCTTATATTTACTTGTTACAACTCGAACCCACAACGAATCGGGCGAAGTAAGTATCGTCCATGCAAGCTTGTGAAAGAAAGCCATATTTTGGACACGAAGGTTAATCACCCCTAAGCCACCCATGCTCTTAGGCTTGCAAATATTATCCCATGCAACCAGATGAGATCTCCTTTGACCATTTTTATCACCCCAAATAAAGGCACGCTGCAACTTCTCTATTTCATCACAAATGGCTACAGGAAGCAGACTGTGTTGCATTTGAAATATAGGAGTTGCTGAAATAACGGAATTGGAAAGTGTAATTCGACCGGAAAAAGATAAGACCTGGTTACTCCAACCAGATAACTTGTGCCTAATTCTTGCAACAACATCAGCATAATGGTCTTTGGTTACTCGACCATGTTTCATCATGGACCCAAGATATCTCCCTATATTGTGAGTTTGCTTGAAGCCACACACATTTGTGATATCATCTGCAATGTGAGCATCTGTATTTTTCGAGAAAAAAATACTAGATTTCGGAATACTAACCTTTAGGCCAGACATTGAACTAAAAGTCTCCAAGCAATCCACTATAACTTTGATTTGATCTAGAGAAGCTTCTGCAAACAACATCAAATCATCAGTAAACATCAGATGGGCTATCTTAGGACCTTTTGATCCCACGGAGATTGGCTTCCATCTCTTATTGTCAACCGCATCTTGAATGAGATGAGACAATTTTTCCATGGCTAGAACAAAAATGTAGGGAGATAAAGGATCACCCTGACGAACTCCTCTTGAAGGAAGGAAGTCACCTGCAATGGCTCCATTCCAAAGCACTGAGACCTTATCAGAGTTGATACAATTCATGATAATATTTGTGAACCAGTGTGGGATTTGAATTTCATCCAAAATTTTACGAACAAACTCCCAATTTAACATATCATAAGCCTTTTCCAAGTCGATTTTAATTGCCATGAAACACTTTCTTCCTCTCATTCTACGCATTGAATGGATCAGCTCTTGGGTGATGATGATGTTGTCCTGGATATGTCGTTTAGGAACAAAACTAGCTTGAAAGGGAGACATCATCTCTTCCATTAGGGGCTTCATTCTGTTAACCAGAATTTTACTGAGGATTTTATAAATGACATTGCACAAAGAGATTGGTCTGAGCTGCTTAGCACTTTCAGGTCTCTTTACTTTTGGAATGAGGACCAGAAGAGTCGAGTTCACAAGGTGAATCAGATTGGGATTCTGAAACATCATGTTAACATCCTTAATAACATTAGTCTTAATAAGACTCCAATTCTTATGAAAAAAGGCAGCTGGAAAACCATCTTCCCCTGGAGCTTTTGACCCATTGATACTAAAAACAGCTTTTAAAATTTCGTCATCCGAAAGATTACGAGTCAAATTAGATAGCAGATCATCGTGCAGAAGGGGCCAAGTAGTCTTTGATTTCACCCAATCACGATTAAGGACTTCCTCACTAAACAAGTTGCTATAGAAATCTGTTACCAATTGATGAAGTTGTCTAGCTTCCTTCACCCAAATCCCATCAGAATTTTTTAACTCAAGAATCCTATTCGAACTTCTTCGAGTAGCTGTTTTAATGTGATAGAATTTGGTGTTTCTATCCCCATCATTTATCCATTTCACCCTGGCTTTTTGAAACCATAAGATCTCTTCTTGTATGAGAACCGCATCAAGGTCCTTCCTAACCTCCTTTTCTCTAGATTGGAGAGATAAGTTGGTATGATAATCAACATGATTCTGAATTTCTGCAATACTATGCAATAGGTTAGTCGTCCTATTGAAAATGTTGCCAAAGACTATCTTGTTCCATCTTTTTAAATTTGGAGTCAGATCATGCAGATTCGTTCTAGTGTCTTTCACAACATTCCAGCTCCTAGCCAGAAACTGAGTAAAGTTATAATGCTCCATCCAAGCAATCTCAAAGCGAAAGGGACGATTTTTCCAACCTGTGTCCAAGTTAGACAAGTAGACCAAAATGGGACTATGATCAGAATAAATCCGTGGAAGTACCTTAACGCCAGCATCAGTAAAGGTAGTCTTCCAACTTGCATTAGCACAGGCTCGGTCCAGCCTCTTAAAAACACGATCAAGATGAAGAAACTTCGGACCCTTCCATGTAAACCAAGGACTTGATCCTCCAAGATCCAGCAGCTTGCAATTATGAAGAACATTTGCAAAATTGGAACATCTGTTTAAGTTAACTCTACAGCCACCTTTCTTCTCATCCCGATTTGCTATTTCATTAAAATCCCCAGCCACCAACCACGGCCCATTACAATGGAGACTAATGTTTAGCATATCATCCCATAGCTCCTTTCTATTTTCTTCCCTAGGACTCGCATAAACTGCCGTGCAAGAAAAGGAAGGAACATGAAAATTTTGAACTTTAAAATGAACAAACTGTTTTGTGTGAT